GAGAGAGAGAGAGAGAGAGAGAGAGAGAGAGAGAGAGAGAGAGAGATGGCACAGTTTAGGAGGCTGGTTATCAAGGCACCTGAGATCCGGCCAGGCGTCTCCACAGTAGAGAGCTACAGGCTGGACTGGCGTGGCCAGCAGCAGGTGTGAGCAGCAGACGTTGACGCTATCGGCGACAAGGACAGGTTGCTGTGCGGAACTCGGGGACCTAGCTTCGTGAAAAGCACTGATGTCCTCCCAGTCCCTCTCCTCTTGAAGTTCCTTATTCAGGCACCCAGAACTTTCTCTGCCAGGAAGAGAACACACAAGGAAGCAGAGCTCGAGGAAGGGGCTGCCCACACCCGCTGAGTCACTCATAATGGCCCCTCAGATGTCATTTTGATGCTAAGGCATTTGGAAAAATTTCTGCTTCTGAATCACAAGCAAACACTATAATTCAACAATCTTCTCAGAGTTATTCAAGGAACTTCAATGTACTCAGAAGTGGAAGATCAGGGGCGGATGAAATCAATGAATTCTGAGTACTCTGTTTTTTTCCTAATTATGTTTCATTTGCCAAGTGGGGGAGGGGCGCACCATGTGACTCCTGGGGACAGCTCCTGGGGGAAGTCTGCAAGTGGCCGATTGGGGGTTTCTGGGTGACACGTGGCTTTTCTTATCTTCTTGGTCCTAGTCCCATAATAGACCCAAATGTCATCCAGGAAAGGTCTGACTACCACCACGGCTGCTTCTTCTTCTTCTTCTTTTTTTTTTCTTTTTTCTTTTTTTTTTTCTTGCGGTACCAGGGATTGAACTCAGGACCTTGTGCTTGCCAGGCAAGCACTTATTCTACTGAGCCATCTCCCTGGCCCCCACTGAGGCTTCTTGCGGACCACAAACTGTGACAGCCGGCTGGAGGGGAGGGGGCTTCAGGCGCAGGGCTGCGGGGCTCAGTGGAGAATCTCAGTGTCTTGGTGCTGGCTTCCGGGATTGCCCCTGTGTACGCTGAGAGCTCTGGCTCCTGCCCTCTGCCCTCTTGGGCAAACGTCAGGCAGAGTTCTGCCCTTGAGCTGCGTCGCTGCTTACCTGCCTTTGCCACGGCTCATCTCTGGGGACAGAAATCAGCATTGTCATTCACTGTAGGTAGGCACTGCTAATCACTTGCCACAGTTCGGGGACGGGGGTCATCTCCAGCCTGGCAGGGGAGCAGCCGTGGGGTGACGTGGGCCTCTTGGGGCGCCCCGCTCATCTGACTCCTGACAGAGGCCACTGTGGCTGGTCAGAGGGCATGGCCCCATCTATTCACATCTGTGGCCTATACCACACTGGGAATCGGAGAACTCCCTCCTTGGGGAACAGGTACCTTCGTCAGTCAGGACAAAAGACTGAGACAGGATCGACTGCTCTTCAGATGCACGGCATTCCCTACCCTGTGCTCTTCCCAGGCTTTGAGAGTCAGCATCTACACCTCTGTGTGTGTGACGCCTGAGCAAGAGCCTGTGTTTGCAGGTGAGCAAGGGCTGGGCCGTTTAGGAAGACAGTCACCTCTCCTCTTCTGTGCTGTTCAGCTGCCTTGCAGACCCTGCCTGAAGGCATGCGGGGAGGCACCCACGTGCGTGCGCCTGGTCTTTGAGACAGATGTTACCCACCTCACAGCTGAAACAGTGCACGGGGGTTGGGGGGTGGTGGGAAGAGACGAAGCCCTTGGCAGCTCACCTGGGCTCTGTCCTGGGGACCCACCAGCTCCCCCGGGGGGGCTCTGCCCCGCTGGCCCTCTCTGCTGCCCTCTGTCTGAAGCACAGCGCCCGCTGAGACTGAATAAACACTGCTGGCCATACAGGAATCAAAGCAAACAGGCTTTGCTTTCCCCCCTTTTGCCAACTGCCCCATTAACAGAAAAGCCTTTTAAGTACCCATCTGGAAACCTGGCTTTTTCCTCCCTAAGCAAACTGAGATGGCCAAGAGGAATGCACCAGGCGGTGGGGCCAGCACACTGGGTGTTGCTCATACTGCGAAGAATGAACACAGGGAGATCAAAAATGCCCCCCAGCCCAGCCAGTGGTCCCCACAGCGAGCCGGTGTGTGGCTACACCGGTCCCTTTCAGCTCCTCTGCCCCAGAGGTTGGGGCCTCCACAGCCATGGCCTCCCATAATAGCTTGCTTGTGGCTGCTTCCCCTCCAGTCTGTTCCCAGGCCAGGTTTCTTGAACAGTTTATACTTTCAGCCTGGACCACCTCTTAGGGAAGGGAGGAAAAAGTCCTTGGGTACCACACCCCCACCTAGCCATGAGAAGGTCACGGTCCTGAATAAACACATTATTGGCTTTAAGGAAACTTGCTGACCTTCGCTGCTCAAACTTGCCCAGCTGTTGATGCGCACTCAACAAACATTTGCTGAGGCCCCATGATGCACTGGCCACTTGGGGGCCTCGGAGGTGATGTGGCTGGGGAGATAAGGCACACATGGGAGTAACTAGTAAACAGGACCACCTGGGGCCCCTGGGGCCCTCGGTGCTTTTGTCCTGAGCATGCGGAGCTCTCCTGCAAGGCGGTCATGGAGCTGCTTCAAGTTGTGGGGGTCCCACTGATGGAGGAGAGAAAGGGGCCATGTCCTGCCAGTGCGGGGGGGGGGCAGGCAAGAGGCAAGCCGATAGGCTCACTTCTGGGGGTGCTCCGTGGTCCCTCGGGGTGTATTTCTTCATGTGTGAGCAATCCCGAGGCGCGCGCAGGACATCCTTCATCCTGAGTGTACACTTTCTCCTCTTTATCCCCCTTGGTGGCCAGAAGCATCTGAGAAGTGTGGGCAGTCACACTCACCTGAACATGGATAACAGTACTAGTAGAACTAGATGCCGAGCTTGCAGAAACAATCGTAGGAATTTGAAAAGACTCCCCAGTCCTTGCGCCTGCCTGCGTTTGGCAGAGGCTCCCTCTACCAGCATCACGCTGTCTCCACCATCTTAGTGAGTTACAGGCAGCGGAACAGGACCCTGAAGGGTCGCACAGCAGTGTCTCCTGGACACACGGACTTCCACGCGTGGAACCACTGCACGTGATCAAAATAAAGAAATAGAATGGGGACAACAGTACTGTTATCCATGTTCAGGTCACATTTGAATGTTGATAAAGGTCCTAAAACGGTCCATTAGAGGAGCCCCGCTCTGTTCTGTAGGATCTGGTGAGGATCAGGGTACGTTAATGGGTACCTCAGATCAGTCTAGAATCCACACGGAGAGCGAGAGTGCCGTGGCTTGGCTCCAGTGGTGAGCCAAGGTCACCTCTCTGGCCAAAACAAAAACGCAAGGACCTGAAGGGCTTCTGGCTTGGGTCCAGCGTCGCACCACCCTTGGGTCCAAGTCCTGTGGGGGCTGGACTCCGGGTGGGACACACCCTTGGGACAGTGGCGGGCAACTGGGCCCTGGGGGGACTGCAGTCGCACTGCACGCACTCTTGGGGAGCGGTGGTGGTGGCCCCTCGCGGAGTCAGCATTTGAAGATCTTAGCCTTGGGCTGCAAGCCAGGATGCGGGAAGTCGTGCGCGTCCAGACGGCCAGTGCGGCAGCCAGTTTCCCTGGTCCTGCCGTATCGCGGCAGTGCTAAGGAGCAACGCTCAGGGCAGGACCTGGGAAGACTCCTGCGCCCAGGTTGCCAGCCTGGCTGCCAGGCTTGGCATTAGAGCTTTCTCTCTTAATGATGGTGTCTTGAGCTCTTAAGAATCGATGTCACCTTTACAACTTCAGTAAAGTTCAAGGAAATTCCTCTCATGGTTCTTTTATTTATTAACATTATTTTCTGTTTAGTTATTTTTCTATGAACATTAATGTTTATGGCCTAAAAGTAGAAAGTATCCACTGGGGCCGGGGAGATAGCTCAGTAGAATAAGCGCTTGCCCGGCAAGTGCAAGGGCCTGAGTTCAGCCAAAAAAAAAAAAAAAAAAAAAAAAAAAAAAAAAAAAAAAAAGTCCACCCATCCATGTCTCCCTCAGTGTCCCCTGGGTGCCACCAGTGGCTTTCGAATGTTCCTTCGGAAACAGCTGAGGTGACAGGGGTGGGTTTAGGTGCCATGAGGGCTAAATGGTGCCTCTTTGCAAGTGGTTCCAGTCACATAGTCGACTGGGAGTCGAGGCCCAGCTGTCACACAGGCACCACAGCCAGAGGGAGGCCTGCTCCGGGTGCCACATAAGAGTAACCTCGGGTCTTGCGCTCATGCGAGGAAATGACGAAGCAATATTCTTTCTGTTCAGAGAAACAGCAGCCCCCAGAAGGGCGATAGGCGGAGGGCAGGAAGAATGGGGGCTGGACTCCGGGTGGGACACACCCTTGGGGCAGTGGTGAGCAGCTGGGCCCTGGGGGGACTGCAGTCGCACTGCACGCACTCTTGGGGAGCAGTGGTGGTGGCCCCTTGCGGAGTCAGCATTTGAAGATCTTACCCTTGGGCTTAAAGCCAGGATGCGGGAAATTGTGCATATTCAGATCGGCCAGTGTGGCAACCAGATTGGAACTAAGGTAGGTCAAGCCCGCTTGCTGGTACTGTACTGGCTTCCACTGTCCATCGATGTGGCCAACTATAGCCGGGAAGAGGATGTGCTTGCAATGTAGTTTATTAGAAGCACTTTAGCTACATAAATGCAGGAACTGTAAAGACTTAAGGGCCAGACAAATAGCTCAGTGGATTAAAGCGCCTGCAAACAGGCACAGGGGCCTGAGGTTTGATCCCCGGGCCTGCTGAGAAGGCCACTGAGACTGGGCGAGGTGGTGCATGCCTGTCATCCCAGCTCTTGGGAGGCTGTAAACAGGTGGATCACTATGAGTCCGATCTAGTAGTGAGATCCTGAATACCCTGTAGACCCTTCTCTAAAATACAAAAAAAAAAAAAAAGACTTAAGAGGTCAATTAATTAATGTTACTGTTATCAGAGGTTACACGTGTGTAGTACACGTTAACTATTTTATTTTTATCATCTTGGCAATGAACTTTCACATCTAAAAACAGTAATTTATCTCTAAAGAGTTTTCTGTTTTTTTGGGAACTTTCTATTTTTATTTTAGGGAAGGGTCTCCAGGATATACAGGGTCTCACTGCATAGCTCGGACTTGTAGTGTTTACAGCCTCACAAGAGCTGGGATTAGAGGAATGCGCCATCACGCTCTGTCTTGGGAAATTTCTTATACCATATCAATACAGTCTCTTTTGATTTTTTTTTTTTTTTTTGGTGGGACCGGGGATTGAACTCAGGCCCTTGCACTTGCCAGGGAGGCACTTATTCCACTGAACCATCTCCCCGGCCCCAATTTTGTTTTTTTAAAGACAGAGTCTCCATAAGCAGTTCATGCTGGCCCTAAACTCACTTTGTATCCTAGGCTGGCCTCAAACCTGAAGCGACTGTCCGGCCCCAGTCTTGAGGGTTGGGATTACACGCATATGCCACCATCCTTGGCAATATGGTCTTTGTCTTCCCAACTCAAGTTTATGTTGCACAGAAAAAAATTGTTTAGTATGGAGTAAAAAATTGAGGAAGTCCCAATATAT